CGCTTGCGCGAATCGTCTGGAACGATGAACGGGGAGCCCCGCTGTTGCGGCTGCTGCTGCGGGATGGCTACCGGACTGAAGGCGCGACCGCGCACATGGCCAGCCGCCACCGTAGCCGTTTCCACCGGCACCGCAACCGCCCCACCGCCCCAAGCCGGCGCCGCTCCCACCGCCGGCCGCCGCCGCCGCCACCGTCTCCCTTGGCGCTGCGTCGCCGCCGCCGCCGCACCGCCTCAACCTCGCCCTACCCTCGCTCTGCAGTGGTACCTCGGCGTGTTCCTCGTCCTCTCGATCCTCGGCATCCTCAGCTTCGTCCCAAACTTCGGCAACACCGGCTACCTCTTCGTCATGGACGAGGCTGTCGACGAGGCCAACAAGTACTGCGCGGGCGACGTCAAGTATCTGACCATCGACGACGTGCTCGGGCTCGACCGCGGTCAAGACACTTGCCCCCAGGCGTGCAAGTGCGACGGCAAGCCGTGCGACTTCGACGAGATCTCCACCCTCTGGGAGGCTGAGGCCGGGTTCGGGTTCGCACTCCTCGTCCTCACGATCCTCACGTACGCCGTGGCCTTCACCGGAGCCCTCCAAGAGTCGCCGGCTCTGCTCAAGCCCTTCGTCTACATCATGCCTGCGCTGATGGGTCTGGGGCTCATCACTGGCATCCTGGCCGCCGTCGCCGACACCACGATCTGGAAGGCGTGGGTGATGTACGACCCGCCGGACGATTGGAAGTGCTCGCTGATCTACGAGCCGTTTTATTTCGCATTGTGCTGCGCGGAGTTCGTGCGCTGCCCCCTCCCCCCCAAACACCACCCAACCACCCACTACTTCGCTTGTCCAGCGGGCCAGGTCCCACCGCCCCGCCTCGCAGGAGTCTGACTTCAACCGTCTCATCGTCGCTTCCATCGCCATCGGGTGGACCGTGTACGTCGTGAGCTGGGTATTTGTGGCGAGCCAGGTCTTCGAGGTTCGCGTGTTCCTCGCGCACCTGGCCAAGCAAACGGGAGGCCCGGCAGTGACGGGGCACCCGGTGGCCGTGGCGATGGTCCAGGCTGCCTAAGAGCCGGTCCAACGCGAAACGATCTCACTCCCGCGCACGTCAAAGGTGCGGCTCTGCTCTCCAAGTCCAACGCGGGCAACTGGTCGCCGCCGTGCACACACCATGGCTACAGTACGTGTGTCTCCGCCTGACTTGCCGCCCCCATGTCTCTCCATGCAGGCGAAGGCCCCCAATGTGATTTCCGACCGTCCCCTCTTCTGAGTTCTGTTCACGACTGTCGTGTGCGTGATCTCTTGGTTCCGGGGTGTGCCTTTGCGATTTGGTGTTTCTCGTTTGTTCGACGGTGAGGCAGGGTTGGGGGTAGAGGGTAGCAGGGTACGGGGTGTGGACCCCCTGAGTTGCACACAGGGGTTGTGCGCTGGGCCCTCCTGCTCGGCTCCAGCCAGCAGACAAGTCTTGTCAGCAACAGAGTAGATGGATCTGACCTCGGGGCCGATGTGACCCAGGTCCCAGCGCTGGCTGGTAGCGTGGTTTTACCTCACACCCGGCCGACTACACGGTGAGCCATACGGCTGAACTCACGGACCTTGCAGTAAGTAAACCTTTTCCTTCTAAGCAGGGCTACACAATGACCCCATAGTGTGTGGGTGTTTCTGGCGAGTTGTGATGAGTAGAATTAGATTAGCCAATGGTATTTTGAAGTTCATATATGAAAATACCAACTTGCCTATGTGCACGTCTCCGCGGCGGCGGCCCGGAGGCGGCCCGGCGGAGCGGTCAGAGCAGCACTGCGCCGGCCGGCGATCGACTCTCGACTATACCACGGGCTCTATTGAATGGCCTCAATGTGCTCTCTAGCGCTCCAGGCGGGCTGCTGCTCAGAATCTGGGCCGTCGGCGCTCGCTCTCGCGCTCTTCATAACGGCGTTGCCCCCTCCCTCCCGCGCCGACGTTACACCGATCGGCCGTCCGCAAAGTCAAGCGTGTCATGCAGCAATCGGATCTTCATCAGTCGGGTCGCGCGGTCATTATCATCAGTTGGGATGAGGGGGTTTGCCGACCGGTTCTGAATGAAAAATCTTTGGAGCGGGGCTCGCTCGGGCCGGGGGCTTGCTCTCCTACAACTGTGGAATAAATAAAATAAATAGAGCAGTCATCTCCAGGGAGAGATGGGCGACGCACACGAACACAGAGGGACAGTGCGCACCCCGCCCCGCTCGCAGGGTGTGCATCACACAGGTGGACTGTGTGACTCCTCGGGTTTCTGGGACTCAGAGGTGTGCTACATGTACAATGGAAGCAAGCTCTACTCGAGAGTCGAGTAGAGGGTGAGGCGCTCCAGAGCAGGAGTAGTTTATTTTTGCTTGGGCGGCAGCCATGCTGAAATTCTCGAAAAAACCTGGCCGGCCCCTGCCCCTACCTACCTACCTACCTACCCTACCCTACCCTACTTATGGGAAACTAAAAAAGAAATCATGGGGCGGGTGAAGGTGGGTACTATACCAACTAAAGGGATGGTTGGTGGTACTCTCCTGCAACCTCAGTCCTTCCTGAGACATGACAGGCCACTCTCAACACTCAAGCCCTACAAACAAGCACCAGATCACCCACTTGGGGAGGAAAGAAAGAAAGAAAGAAAACAGACACGCCAAACGAGGGATGGGACGAGGACAGGGTCCCCACCTGCACGAGCAGGATTTTGGAAGAACGATCAGGGGGACAGGTGGGGCTCTCCTGCTCCTGGGGAGGGTTGACATCGTGATTTCGGCAAAATTTCTTTTTCTGCCGTGAAATTCCGGCGTGAAGAGAGGGAAACCCCGACGGGAGGGCCTACACCTACCCGACCTACCCCGGCATGACCGGCCAAGCAAAAAGAAACTTGCCATGTGAGTGGTCACTTCCAGGATCCGCGGCGGCAAGCAAGGGCGCCGAACTCTGCAGTGCGCGCCGCCCCCCCCTGGACCACCCACGCCATCGCCCCCATCCACATCCCGGCGCCACACCTACGCCACGCCCGCCTCCGACTCCCGAGCCTCTCCCAGCCCGGCCTCGCGCCGGCCGAGGCTGCGCCGCCGAGAAGGCGTCGCGGGCGCGAGAGAAGGAGAGCTGGGCAAGGCTTCGCCGCGCCGTGATCGCCGCCGCCACCCTCTGCGCAGACCAATAATGCCCTTCGTCCCGACCTTCGGCGCCCGCTTCCACGAGATGGTCTCTGCCGGCCATGACTGCATCGGCTGGTCGGAGGACGGCGAGACGTGCTGGGTCAGCAACCCGGAGCGGCTCGCGCGCGACATCATCCCAAAGTACTTTGGGCACTCGAGCTACGCCTCGCTCACGCGCTCGCTCCACGCCCACTCCTTCAACAAGATCACCTCCAACAACATCTGGTCGCACCCGTCCTTCCGCCGCGAATCGCCCGCTCTCGCAAAGACCATCACGCGCAAGCGGCCGCGGCCAGCAAAGGCGGCCGCGCCGCCGACGGAGGGGCTGGGCCTGCCCCCGCTCGTCGCCGGGGGCGCCGCCCTGGCGAGCAGCAGCAACGGCGCCTCGAGCGACGACGAAGCCAGCGGCGGCAATCCGTCTGCAGCGGCTAAGGCGCCCCGGCTCCGCTTTGCGCCAGAGACGCCGAGCCCGGAGGTTGCGGCGCGGCTGGCGGCGCTGCGCGAGCAGCTGCGGGCGGAGAAGCAGGCCGCCAAGACGCTCCAGGAGACGCTCGACCGCCTCGAGGACTCCTCCACCAAAGCCCGCCGCGAGGAGCTGCAGGTGCCACTCGACCCGATCTCCCTTGCCGCCACCACCCGGGCACACGCCCCTCCCGGACTCAGCTTTACGTACTTGCCCTTCTCCTCTTTATGATTTGCTTCCTTCACGGCGTTCATCACTTTCTTCCTCAATTCATGTCATAAGTGAGGGAAGTGAGTGA